GTTAGATCTGTTACTAGGTATGTGAGCTCAGGAGTCCGCCCACTCCTCCTGTATGGATTCAGCTGAGGTGCCCAGGTAGATAGTCAACAAGCATGTGCTATAGGCTCTCACTTACAGTCCTAGACAGGCATGGGTGATTGGTGTAGGCACAGGCATCTGGCTGCAGCAGGGGGACATACTCTGAGCAAGGCAGGGGGCTGACAAACGCCCCCGAGTGTCCAGGAGGAAGGTGTGTCCCTGTTCCCTAGGGAGTGGAAGTGGGTGGGTTTTGCAGCTGGACTATGAGCACCCAATGCTGTTGGCTATAAGGACTGGGGGGCACCTCTTATTCTTGGGCCCCTATTGCAGGTGGCTAGGTGGCGTGGGTGGAGCCACCAGTCCTCAGGCTCCTGATGTGGGTAGGTGAAGACCCTGCTTAATGGGCAGAACAGTGTCAAATGTCAAGAACCTACCACTTCACAGCTGAAACAGTTGAAGTTAGACTTCAGGTATATACCCTGTTGTACTGCGGTAATGAGGGCCTACGCTGTTGAAATGGGCCCACACAAGTCTCTGTAGGGGGAAAGGCACTCAGAGTCCGTGGATCCCTTACACCTGTGCCTAGGCAAAGGCGCTGTGCCTACCCTGGGTTCCTGACTTAGGGGAGCCAGCAGTTTATTTTTTCCCCGTTTCTTAATTTGTTCACTCTCCAAGGCCAGGAGAATGACTCAGGATGTGTGACGGATCCTACTTCCAGCCCAGGGGACTCGGCAATTGCTGAAGCTGGTCCAGGACCCAGTACAGAGCAGGAAGTGGGGAGGTAAATGGGAGAGAGGATTTTCCCTAAGGGGGGTGTTTCTGATCCGTGTGTTAGGCCGTAGGTAAGTACTTATCTTTCGCAGATCCAGGGCTGCTTCTCACTGATTCCGGGTGGCTGACTAGACTCTCTGGCTCTGAGTCTCTCTCGGTGTGGAAAATGCGCCTCCCGAGCACCGCTGCTTGCCTGTCTCACTGCTCACCCAGGAGCTGCTCAGGCCTAAAGGGCTCATGCTCTCACTGGGTCAAGTCTGGCAACTCCTTGCTGCTTCTGAACCGTCTCTCCCTCTCCCTGACACTCAGTCTGGTTCCTCAGCTTTGCCTTAGATGTTCGGGGCTCCTGGACTGTCATATATAATCAATTCACTTGTTTTTTCGGGTCTTTGTTGTAAGAGGGTCCACCAGAAGCATCTGACTACTCCACCATCTTGGCCCTGCCTCCTCTGCAAGGTGTCTAATGCAAAACCATTTTTCGAATATTTTTCTGTACAAAGTAATGATCAATAAAAAAAACAATTTAAGCCACAACCCAATTGTTGGCTCCTTCCCAGGAATCATGAGTCACTCACTGCATTATCATTTTTTGCCTATAGCAAAACAAATTGATCACTAGATTTTTCCTGGGGAGAAAGTGATCACAACTTATAATTTCCTTGTGCCTCAAATTCTTTTGAGAACTAGACAGTATAAATCAATACAAAATTTAAAAACAATTTGCTAATGGCAATGGCTGACATCATCCCTGATCGCCTATGTAGGTCAGAAACAGTTTCAAAAACATGCCTGAAACCACAAGTCCAGCATTTTGTATCAGTAACTTGAGTTAGGCAACACCTTTGTATGAAATCAGTTTGATCAAGGCTTAAAGGAAGTTAAACTAACATTTATGTAGAACTGAAGTGTAAACGTAAAATATCATGAATGTTTTAATTTTTTGTTCCCCGGGGAAACACTTAAACACACAGAGACACACTTGATATTAAACAGTCACTTATCAGGAAGGATGAAAAGAATGTAAACACACAAATAACAATATTCTCTGTTATGAGACTTCTGATTACTTTTCAATTGTCAAAAGGATAAAATAGACATTAAAGAATGTTATACAGATGTGAAGAAAACAAAAGAATACATTTTCAGAAGACAGTCATTAGCTAAATATAAAATTTATTCTTTTTGGGTACCTGGAAAACTTTCTCAATTGTAAAAGGAGGGACATCCCCTTCCAAGGGAGTGAATAAAATCACTCTGCTTTGAACAAGGCAGGCTTTGTCTCCAACCCCCCAGCTCATGGGAATGGTCCATTTTTCCCCTCTAAGACATCTTTTAGAGCCAAACAGGAGGATCAGAGCTCAGATGCTCTTTCTCTATCCCACTCAGCAGGGCCCCAAACATCTCAAGCTTTGGGCCATCTTTGGCATTATGAAAAGCTTGAATCTTACACAGTGAAGAGTGAGGCTGAGGAAGAAGGTTTAAGCGCCCCAGTCCAACTACCCACTTGTGCACTTTGATGAGACAGAATTCAGGTTCAACGCTAAGCCCAGGTTCAAGTTTATTTCCTGGGCAAATAAAGTATGGACACTCTCCTCCCCCTGCCCTGATCCAAGCTTCCTCCTCCCCAACCCAAAACAAGAAGTCAGAGAACAGGAAAAACACATTCTTACTATGTACCCTACCCTGTCCTGCCCCTCCCCCCTCCTCATCCCAGTAAAACTATAAACTTGCAAACCTCACCTTTACCCTTGACCCATGAGTTCTGGAACAAGGAGATTTAAATACTTGTTATCCATCAATTTAACAAATCTCACCGCTTCTGAAGTACGTGAATTAGGAATGTAAGTAGAAACAGAAACTTGTGTGAAAATAACTAGCCTAGTTGTGTAAAATGAAAATTTTGTAAAGAACAATTCATATACTCAAGTCAGTAACTTTAACTGGTGGATATGGAGCAGACTTTTCTGGTCACGGTAAGTAACATCCAGCTCACTGGTTAGAAGCAGCCAGTTTTTCAAGTAACACTGACGCTCGACATTACAGGATCTGCCTCTTCTTTCCCCTCTGATGAAGGGGTTACGATACACTGATGGGTTGTTCTATAAGCCACAGCTTACACACATTGTGCCTGATTATAAACAACCTGGAAAGATGTCAGAAGACTCACAAGCAGCAAAACAAACAAGCAAAGGTTTGAGGAAATTGCACTCAGACAATGCTACTCACTGTATAAATCTGTTTCATCTAGGATCTCAGATTTGATGATTTCTTCAATCACATCTTCCAATGTGACGATTCCCAGAACTTCATAAAATGGATCCCCTTCTCCCTCATTGTTTACCCGCTGCACAATAGCCAGGTGAGATTTACCTTCAAAGAAAAGAAAACAAACTTTAAGATGGAATTTTCTGAATTTCCGGAATGAAGTCTTAAACATGATTATGGCAAAAAAAAAAAAAGGCAAAACACAGATACCAAGGATACCAAGTTATCAAAGTCTGAGTTTCAGCCTTTAAAAATAGTATGGAAATATCACGAACAGTCAAGCTCCACCAGCCATCAAAAGCAAGACAAATTAAGGCAGAAGAGTGTCATCTTCTACATACACTGTACTGTATCACAGTTTTTTGCTTCCTAATGAATTTGGTCTTCATTAATGTCACCTCTTCCTCTGTAACCTTTCTAGGAGAGTAGTTCTTTAGGAGAGCCACTTTAGGAGAGCAGTTCTCAAAGTGTGGTTCATGGACCCCCAGAAGCTCCCAAGACCCTTTCAGGAGGTCGGTGAGGTCAAGAAATTTTCATAATAATATTAAGATGTTATTTGTCTTTTTCACAGTGTGTTGATATTTGAATTGATAGTGGAAAAGCAATGTTGAGTAAAGCCGCTAGCACCTTAGCACAAATCAAGGGAGGGGCAGCAAACTATACTAGTTGTCATTGCGTTCTTCACCACCACACACAGTAAAAGGAAAAAAAAAAAAAAGAAGTTTCTCTTAAGAATGTCCTTGATGAAGCAGTGAAATTATTAATTTTATTAAATCTTGAACCCTTGAGTGCGTATTTTGACATCTACGTGTCAAAACGGGAAACACCATAAAATACTTCAGTTACATTCTGAAGTATGATAGTTGTCTTGAAGAAAAGCACTTGTACAATTGTTTGAGCTGCAAGTTGAACTAGCCACTTTTTTTATTGAACACCATTTTTATTTGAAAGAATGACTAACAGATAAATTATGGTTATTAAGAGTTGGGTATCTGGAAGATATTTTCTCAAAAAAGAATGAAGTGAGCCTGTTCCATCAAGGAAAACAACTGATAGCATTTGCTGCCAGTGATAAAATTTGAGCTTTTAAGCAAAAATTAGAATTTGGAAAACCTGTATCTGCCAACATTAGCTTGACGGCCTCTCAATAATTAAAGACTTTCCTGATGAGCTAGGTGATAATATTAAAATGTGACTTTTCTGATATGGTATAGTGAAACGTGTCAACATTTTGAAGATCTGAGTAACTCAGCGGGCTAATATTTTCCAAATGACTACTGCATCCTGTTACAAAATTATGTGTGGGTAAAGTGTGTAGACAGAGTGTAAGACAGACGAATGGATTTTTTTTTAAATAAACTTTTTAATTTTGGAATAATTTTAGATTTACAGAATAGTTGTAAAGATAGTACTGAGAGTTCCTGTATACCCCTCACCCAGTAGTTAACATCTTACATTATTAATACGTTTGTCAAAACTAAGAAATTGACATTTTTACATTACTAGTAAGTAAACTCCAGACTTCCATGGTTTCCTCCATTAATGCTCTCTTTCTGTTCCCAGGATCCAATCCAGGATACCACACTGCATTTAGTTATCATGTCTTCTTAGTCTCCTCCAACCTGTGATAGTTTCTCAGTCTTTCCTTGTTTTTCATGACTCTGGCATGAAATCCTTAAAATTGAAGGAGTATTGACCAGGTATCCTGTGGAATGCCCCCAATTTGGGTTTGTCTGATGTTTTCCTCATGATTAGACTGGAGCTATGAGTTTTCTAGTTACATCGTTTCAAGGGGTACATGATATCCACGTAACACCATTGATGATGTTCACCTTTATCATTTGGTTAAGGTAGTGTCTGCCATATTTCTCCACTGTTAAGTTACTATTTTTCTTTTCCCTAACTCTCTTCTTTGGAAGCAAGTCACTAAGTCCAGCCCACCCTCAAGGAAAGTGGAGGGTAGGGTAGACATTAAGCTCTTCCTTCTGGAAGAAGTATCTAAATATATTATTTGGAATTCTTCCATAAAAATTTTTTCTGCTCAATGGATTTTAAGGTAATAAAGTGCCAAAAGTTCACTGGTATGTTTTCAGACTCTACATTGCGACTAACCTTTAAGAAACTACCACTTGTGGAATTTTAATGTAGTATCAAAGGAGAATATCCACAATTATCCAAAAAGGCTATTAAAATAATCTTCCCTTTTTCAAATATGTATCTGTGTGAGGCCAGCTTTTCTTTATACTTCAGTCAAAATAGTATATCCCAACAGACTGAATGCAGAGAAAGGCACAGGGATCCAGCTGTCATCTATTGAGCTAGATAACAGAGAGATTTTCAAAAAAGTAAAACAATGATACTTGTTAATTTTTATGTTTTGGAAAATAGTTATTTTTTATAAAATTACGTTATTTATGTTAACATGTAATGGATTTATTATTGTTTTATGAGTATGCGTTAATAAGCATGTTTTAAATTGCCCAGTTTTAATTTCAAATACAGTAAATATCAAAAGATATAACCCACATAAACAAAAGCTAAAGGGCCCTCTATTTTTTAAGAGTTTAAAGGGATCCTAAGACAAAAAAGTTTAAGAGCTGCTGCTTGAGGAGATGGCCAGGAGGGGAGAGGATGAACAGAAGCTCCGAAGTCAAATACTCCTGGACCTGAATTGTAGCAGTGCCACTTTTTAGCCACTTACTAGCTCTGTGACTATGAGTAAACTACATAACTTTTTGAGCCTCAGTCTCCTCATCTCTAAAACCAGCTCATAATAATTGCTACCACACAGGGCTATTGTGAAGATCAGAGATAATGTTGGTACCTAACAAACACAGTGTCTGGCATTTAATGAGGGTTCAATAAACGGTAACTCTTATTGTTTCATTAATATTGTTCCTTAATTCTAAGGCACCATCAACTTATTACCAGCTTAGTCAGTGGGAAAAATATCTCATTACACAATGCACTATATAGGGAAGTCATCACAACTTGACCCAGGCAAAGTCATAGAAGCTTCCTAGACACATTCAAACACCTTGAGGTACCGAGTTACTGGGGCTGAGGGCTAGGGACCATGGTCTTGGGGACATCTAGGTCAACTGGTATAACTTAGTTCATAAAGAAAATGTTCTACATCCTACTTTGGTGAGTAGCGTCTGGGGTCTTAAAAGCTTGCGAGTAACCATCTAAGATACATCTATTGGTCCCCTCCCATCCGGAGCAAATGAGAATGAAGAAGACCAAAGACACAAGGAAAATATTAGTCCAAAGGATTAATGGACCACATGAACCATAGCTTCACCAGCCTGAGCCCAGAAGAACTAAATGGTGCCTGGCTACCACCACTGACTGCTCTGGCAGGGATCACAATAGAGGGTTCTGGACAGAGCAGGAGAAAAATGTAGAACAAAATTCAAATTCTCAAAAAAGATCAGACTTATTGGTCTGACAGAGACTGGAAGAAGCCCTGAGACTATGGCCCCCGGACACCCTGCTAACTCAAAACTGAAGCCAATCCCAAAGTCCACCTTTCAACCAAAGATAAGACAGGCCTATAAAACAAACAATAACACATGTGAGGAAAGTGCGTCTTAGTTCAATCAAGTATGCTAGACCAAATGGGCAACACCTGTCCAAAAGCAAAAATGAGAAGGCAGAAAGGGACAGGAAAACTGGATGAATGGACACAGAGAATCCAGGGTGTAAAGGGAAAGGGAGAGAGTGCTGACACATTGTGGGGATTGCAACCAATGTCACAAAACAATTTGTGTATAAATTTTTGAATGAGAAACTGATTTGTGCTGTAAACTTTCACCTAAACCACAATTTAAACTACATTAATTGTACACAATGACTAAAAGATGCATTTCAATTTCAGAAAGATCTTTTAAAATATTAAATGCATCATTCAAACTCCAATATTGATTCTTCCCAGTCTAAGGCATATGAGGCATCTGAAACATATCTGTAAATTAAGCCAAGGAGACATGATCTAGCTGAAGCGCTGGTGGCGCAGTGGTTAAGAGCTCGGCTGCTAGCCAAAAGGCTGGCAGTTTGAATCCATCAGCTGCTCCTTGGAAACCCTATGGGGCATTTCTACTCTGTCTTACAAGGTTGCTATGAGCAGGAATTGATGGCAATGGGTTTAGACATGATCTGGAAACTTCATGATCAGTTAACGCTTACATTATTTTTCTAAATGGCAGAGCTTTCTTTTTTTTTGGGAGGGGGTCCTTTAAATAAAGTTTACTTAAAACTTCAAATTGGGTGAGTTCACCCAGACAGCCAGACAAACTAAAAATATTCTCATAAGGCCAGTTCTGATCAAGTTCCCAGCATTCACTTGGAAACTAGCTTTGGTTCTGTAGGTTTACTGGCCCTTTTCTTAACTCTGCAGTCTTAAGTCCGTTTATGCTCTGCCTCAGACCCCTTTATAGGCAACAATGTCTGGAAGCCTAGACATTTAGATTGTTAGACAATTAGGCATCCTAACAATTTTCATCCCTAGCCTGCTCACGCTCAAAGAATGAAAATATTTTGAACAAATTAGACTAGGAGGGAAACTTATCAGCAATAGCTATAAACACTGCTGCAGGTCAAGTCAATTCTAGTCTAGTCCATGCAGTCCGGTAAGTTTCTCACATCTGCTTTCCCAAGGACCCAGCATAAGCAGTTAAAAATTCTTGGTGAATGCTGTCTGTCGAAAGTTAAATTCTTTTGCTATTCCCAGCTTGTGATCATTTAAAAGGAATTTTCCAAAGCAAGGTCTAATATTAGACTCAAAATGAAGTTTCCATTCCACTGAGGCGCTATTCTCACCAAAGTAACTACCGCATAATCAGATTGTCTTGGAGCAATTCGTTTAAATGCAGATGGACATACTTGAAATACCAGCTCCATAGCACCAAGGGATCTGACTGGAAAGAGCCTTACTCCAGGAGAAATTATTTAGATTGCAAATTATTAAATATCTTCAGATAATGAATGCCTGTTTTCTTTGGAGCTCACTTGTAGCCATTCACACCCCCCACCCCTCCAAAGTTAGAAATTTCTGCATCTACAGAGAACCACATTCTTCTAGTTTTGTAATTCCTGGTGAGAAG